CGTGATCTAGATCCTAGGTCGATGCTCAACCACTGAATCATGCTCGCTGGCAGAAAACTTATTATTTTTAAAATCATAGTTTCAGGTGTACGCCCCAGCGATTAGACGTGATCTGGATCCTAGGTCGATGCTCAACCACTGAATCATGCTCGCTGGCAGAAAACTTATTATTTTTAAAATCATAGTTTCAGGTGTACGCTCCAGCGATTAGACATTACATAACTTACTAAGTGATCATCCCCATAAATCTCGTACCCACCTGACACCTTACACAGTTGTCAGAATGTTACTGTATTCCCTACGCTGTACTTTACATCCCCATGACTCTTCTGTAACGACCAATTTGTACTTAATCCCCTCACCTTTTCACTCACTCCCCTAACCCCCTTCCATCTGACAACCGTCAAAGTGTTCTCTGTATCTATGAGTCTATTTCTGTTCTGCTTGTTTTTTTAGGTTCAACTGTTTATGTATTTTGCCATTTTATTGTTCATATTTTTTATCTTTTCTTTCCCTTCTCATTCTTAAAGAATTCTTCATTCATTCTTCAACACTTCCTGTAGTGCTGGTCTGGTGGTGGTGAACTCCTTTAGCTTTTTCTTGTCTGGAAAGCTCTTTATCTAGCCTCCAGTTCTAAATGACAGCTTTGCTGGGTAGAGTCATCTTGGTTGTAGGTTCTGGCTTTTCATCACTTTGAATATTTTTTGCCACTCCCTTCTGGCCTGAAATGTTTGTTGAGAAATCAGCTGGCAGTCGTACGGGAGCTCCCTTGTAGGTAACTAACTGCTTTTCTCTTGCTTTTTTTTTCTTTTAAATATCTCTTTATTGATTTCAGAGAGAGGAATGGAGCAGGAGGGAGGGAGAAACATCAATGATGAGAGTCATTGATCGGCCGCCTCCTGCACGCCCCCTACTATGGATGGAGCCTGCAACCTGGGCACGATCCCTGACCAGGAATCGAACCGCAATCTCCTGGATCCTTGGTCGATGCTCAACTGCTGAGCCAGGCCAGCTGGGCTCTCTTGCTGCTCTTAAGATTCTCTCTCTGTCTTTAACCTTTTGCATTTTAATTATGATGTGTGTGGGCCTCTTTGGGACTCTCTGGGCTTCCTGGCTTGTAAGTCTATTTCCTTCACCAGGTAGAAGAAGTTTTCTGTCATTTTTCCAAATAGGTTTTCAATTTCTTGTTCTCTCTCAAGCACCCCCATGATGAGAATGTTGGTATGCTTGAAGTTGTCCCAGAGGCTCCTTACAGGTTCAACTGTTGACAGATATGTATTTATTGCCATTTTATTGTTCATTTTTACTTTTGCTGTTTTGATTGGGTGTTTCTTGCTTCCTTATGTTCCAAATTGCATTTCTCAGTTTCATCTACTCTACTGATTCCGTGTCATTTCATTTAGTGTATCCTTCATTTCTGACTGTTTTGTTTTTTTAATGGTTTCCATGTCGTTTTTTATACTGTTGAACTTCTAACGTCACTGAACATCCTTATAACCAGTGTTTTGAACTCTGCATCTAGTAGTTTGCTTGTCTCCATTTTGTTCAGTTCTTTTTCTGGAGTTTTGTTCTGTTCTTTTATTTGGGACATGTTTCTTTGTCTCCTCATTTTGGCTTCCTTCCTGTGTTTGTTTCTGTGTATTAGGTAGAGCTGCTACATCTCCCGGACTTGACAGCATGACCTAATGTAGTATGTTTTCTGTAGGGTCCAGCAGCGTAGCTTCCCCGATCATCCAAGCTGGGCACCCCGACCCTCCTCTGGTGGGCTGTGAGGACTTGTTTGCAGCCAGACCTCTGACCACTGTGGAGAATCAGCTGTGCAGGGCCTACCCTACAGAGCAGGACTTACATCAGCAGGGCTCTGGTACCTGCTGAGTCCGCCCCTTGAGTGTGTCATTTGTGGAGGTGGTTGAGAGGCGATGCTTTGACAGAGTCTGAAGCTCTCCACTGGGTGTGCTAGCTCTGGGGCCTTTTGGGGAGGTGCAGGCTAAGGTCAGCTGCTGTCTGTGCCCTGCCTGGGGCCACCCTGCATGAGCTACAAAGAGATCTGCAGGTAGATGCTACTTGTGCTGGGTTTGGAGGAGCCCAGGGGAGGGCAAGCTAAGAACCAAGGCTGGCTGCTGCTAGTGTAGGGCCTGGGGCTACTTAGCCAGAGGTATGGGGCCCGCTGAGGCCATATGCTGCTTGCTTGAGAGATTTTAGGAAAATCTGAAGCATTAGCCAAGACAGTTCATTGGTATGGCAGAGCCACTGGAAACAGCTTGGGTGGGCCCAAAAGTGGGGTGGGGCAGGGCTTCTGGGAATCACCAGGGTGGGGCAAACAGTGTGAGCCAGGTTGATGGAGACTCAGATATGGTGCCTGCCTACTGGCTCTGTGTGGGGAGGGCTCAGGAAAGGAACAGTGGCCTCTACCAGCTCTCCTCTCTTGGAGAAAGCTGCCCCCCCCCCCCNCCTGATGCCAAACCGAAAGTCTGATGGGTTTTCCTTTGTAGGTCACTTCTTTTCCCTGGCTGCTCTAACAATTTTTCTTTGTCATTAATTTTTGACACTTTTAATACAATGTGCCTTGGAGAGGGCCTCTTTGGATTGAGGTAACTAGGTGTCCTGTTTGCTTCTTGGATTCGAGGATCTATTTCTTTCCATAGGTTTGGGAAGTTCTCATCCTCTATTGGCTTAAATAGATTCTGTTCCCTTCTCCGTCTCTTCTTCTTCTGGATGCCTATTATTCTAATATTGCTTTTACTGATGGGGTCAGAGAGTTCTCATACAACTCTTTCATTTTTCCTTTATGCTCAGGTTTCTCTCTTTTGCCCTCTGTGTCATTTCTAGATTCATATCTTTAATATCACTAATTCTTTCCTCCATGTGGTTGGCTCTGATTTCTGCGCTCTGTAGCTCATTCCTGGTCTCCTTAATTGCATGCTTCATTTCCAGGACTTCTGATTGGTTCTTTTGTAAAGTTTCAGTCTCTTTGGTAAGGTACTCATTTTGTTCATTGATTTGTTTTCTAAGTGCACCGAATTACCTGTATTTTCTTGCATCTAATTGAGTATTTTCAGAACTGCAGTCCTGAAATCTGTCATTTATATCACATATTTCCATGTGTTCCAGCTTCCTTTCTGGGGATTTTTCATTTTCTTTCTGGTCATCCTCATTACCATTGTTATTTATGGTATTTGCCCCTCTCCTTTGCCTAGGCATGAAAAGCACTTCAAGCAGTGTTCTCTGAAACGGTCTTTCTACTATTTTCCAGTAGACGGCACTGAATTGCAGGGTTTTTTTACCTCTGTGATCTTCCAGACTTGACCTCCACAGCTTCCGTAAGACAGTACAGCCACACTGCTTGGGGCTGGGGTTTGTTTTGCCCTCACCATAATGGCAGCCCCAGATCTCTGTGAGGTCCCCTCCCAAGCACCAAACCCGGGGATCAGTCACAGAGTGAAACAGTGGTTCCACTGCAGTAGCTCTTGGTTTACATATAAAATGTTCCTTGACCTGATACCAAGGGCAATGGGAGGTGAGTTTTGGGAGCCCAAGGGGCAGCAGGGCTCTGTGGTTCTGTTTCTTCGTCAGAATCACCCCCGCCCAATAGTGGACTGCCCTGTGCCAGAACCCCACTTCTGGCATCTGCTGGCTCAATCACTGTTCACTCCACTTGCCCTGCTGGACTGGCCCCAGCAGCTCTGTTCCTCCCAGCTGGCTGAAAGAAGTGCCTACTCCCAGCAGCTTCCTCCCCTTTCCCGGCCACACTGTGAGCTCTGGCTGCAGGGCTGCATCTGCAGGCCATCTGAGCTCTCCTCCCTTCTCATCTCTCCACTTATTCCTGGTTGCCTGCCTTTAGATGTTTCAGTGTGTGGGTCTCTCAGGCGTGCTTCTGTATTGAGTTGGGAATTCTTTGTAGTTGGTTAATTTGTTGAAATTTCAGGGGAGAGGGCAAGGGGATCTCTCACGCCACCAATGCTCTGATGTCACTGGATTCTTTAAATGCCTAGTTGTAGAACTTCTGGTCAGCCAGATTTCAGGTGGTTCTGAATGATGGTGGTTCTGCAGTTTAGCTGTAATTGGGAGGAGCCGAGCACCATTTTTACCTACACTGCCATCTTGGCTAGAAGCCCCCTTATTTTTTTCCAGAGCAATCTGTGGGGCACAAGGATGCTGACCCAGGGGATGGGAAAGGAATGGGAAACCCCTTTGAGGTGTGTCTCTCATTTCCTGAAAGCCTAAGTTCTGATGTGCCAGTCACTCCCCCAGTACACAGCATCGTGGTGCCCTTGTCCACGGCCACCCATACGCCTGCCTTCTGTGCTCACTGGCACAGTGTCCCAAGTCTTTCCACGGCCACAAGGCTTCCAGGCTGCTGCACTATCAGCTCCCCGATGTCACAGGACAATTTCATCCCGATTCCACCAGTCTGTCCACCCAAGGTCCTGCAGCACTCAGCTATCCTGCCTCATATCCCCTTCGACCTGAGGCCACCTCGTGTCTGTCCTGAGGAGGCCAGCAGGCATGCTGTGGCGTGTCCCTGACGCACCAAGGTGATTCTGACCTTGATAATGGAGGTGAGGTGTACCTGCCAGATGGAGGTGCTCTTCTCACTAACGCAATTGTTT